AACCCCTTTGCAAATAGTGAAACGAAGTGCACACGCGCGCGTCGTCGCGCGCGTACCATATGTTTTCTAACAGAGCCTTGGGTTTCACACGGTTTTCAAAAACGGGTGTCCCGAACACACATAAACAACACACACATGATTTTGCAGCATCAGTTTTCCAAACGGCCCGCGCGCGCTCTTTGCGAATGCCCCAGAAAACCATCTGATTGTCAACCTTGTCATCGGATTGTGCCAAGCGGGCCTCCCGCGCCTCATGTCGGAATCACCCCGAACGCCTGGGCGTGCGTGCTGGGAGGGCACGACCCGTGTCAACTAATACCACGTGGGCCGCTCGCGCACGTCGGCCGTGCGCGCGTGCCGAACTGCTGGCAAAACCTTAAATCGTCGGCGCGAGGACATCGTCACCGTTATCGGCGGGCATGGTCAACCTCGGCGCCGTCATTGGCTTCGCCGTCGTTATCACCGTCATCGTCACCATCAGTGCTACTCCGATCGCCGTGTCTACCGTCGCCGGCGTCGCCATGATACCGCGCCCGCCCCAGGCAACAACTCGCGCTGAGGTGCCCGTTGGGAAGTGCCCAGCGGTCAGCGCCACCGCGTCCGCAACGGTCGCGCCGCACGAAATGGACGTTGCACGCGCGAGGATGTGCGGGCTAGCGTTGCCGCCAAGATGCACCAGGCATCACCAAGCACTCACCGCAATCGCCGTCGCATGGGTTTGCAAACCAAGTTGCGGTTGGGTGGGTGGGCTGATCGCGAGCAGTGGATGTGACAATTCACAGTTAGCACTGGTGCTTTGCAGCGATCGCACCACATGGGTTGCTTCACACAGATTTCACCACACAGATTTCACAGGCTGCCTTGAACCACATATATTGCATCACCAACATTGCTTCGCACATCTTCTTTTTTTGGAACAGCATTTTGGAGTTTACCACCTTCCCACAAACCCCCAGAAATATCCCCCCGCACCAGGGGATGTGCAGTTTACATTTTTGTTCTGCCCCATCGATCATTTTAGATGTTAACTCGTACCATCCCGGCCAGACCGGTACCGAACCTCCTTCCCCACCATCATTTGCAAAAACACGATGCGAGCTGCTTCGTTTGTCCAAAGCCATACAACTTTCAAACGTCCCTTCCAAACACGTAGGACGAAGTGCGCGCGCGAGGATTGCAGAATTGATTGCAACACTGATTGCCCCGACAACTATTTTAACAAAAAACATGGTTCTGAACGTTTTTTAAAAACAAAAAAAAAGTGTGCGCGCGCTCTTGCGAATTCTTGCGAAAATGGATGGTTTTCCGCATTGTCATCACAACCGACCAAGTGGGCAGTCCGCGCGCGAGAAAGTGAGTTGACAATATGTTGCTGACCATAGCGCAGATTGGAGCACAGAGCCTGCACCACATAGATTGCACGACGTATTCATTCAACAAACAGATTGCGGGTCATAGGTTGCACCACATATGTTGCATCACATATATTGATCACCGTCTGTTGCACAACATAGTGCACCGCATGGATCGCAGCACATCGATTCCACAGCTATTTACAATGCATCGTTTGCATTTCATATACTGCATCACGTACATTGCATTCTATATGTGTATAAATATGTATACATATGTATATATGTATGTATTACAGCACCGACTGCACCACTTATTGCACACAGCAGATGTTGGACCACTTATTGCAACACGGAGGCGCCTCCGTGGCGCGGCGTCCTTGTCGGGAATGGCTGGAAATCGGGTTCGCGTCGGTGTCGCCCGTGCGTTCCCTCTCCGCCCTTTTCGCGCCGAGCCGGGGCGAGCCGGCGCGAGCGCGGCGGGGCCGCGGCCCCCGGCCCCGGCGCCATTTGCGCAGCTCGGCTGGCGCGGGAGGGCCACGGCCCGCTCTGCCGAGGGGCAGGGTCCCAGAAGTCCGAGGCAAATCCCAGACAGTAAAACAAGCAAGTCTAGGATGTGTCTGGGATGTTCGTCGCGGCCCTGTCGGAGCTCTCTTGCAGCCCTCTTGGGGCCCGCTTGGTGCGTGCCTCGGCCATCATGGGACGTCTTCGCAAGCCCAAGACTAAAATGGCGGAGCACCTGGGAGCTTGGGCGGACAGCGAGGAACAGCAGGAGGAAGAGGGAGAAGGAGGAGGAGGATAACGGTTGGAATGACAACTGCTATGTGGAGGGCGACTCGCGGGAGCGCGCGTACACCAGGAAACGAGACCGCGAAGGGGCGTTCGCGAACACCGAGTCGGGCAAGGCTTAGGGTGAACGGAAGCGGGCGAGGTCAACACTCGTCAGGCCCAGGAAGCCTTGAGTGACCTCTAACCTTGAAGAATGTTGCTAGGTTTTTTTCTCTCCAGGATCTGTCGCGTGACTAGTCTAAGTGGTTTCAATTGGGTGCCTATGACAGGGCAGTGGTGAACCATAGAATTAGTGCGGATGTTTGGCCATATTGCTAGTATCTTTTTGAGTTGCCCCGTTATTTAAATTGCGCGGGTTGCCTAATTCAGCCATTGTAGTTCTTGCGTTGGTTTCCGAGCGCGCGACCTGTTTAGGGAAAACCCTACAGTGCACAACTATTGACCTCATCTTCGCCAGTCGCCGAAGCAATCTATATACATATATGTATATATGTATATATATATATATAGAGAGAGATATCGACTATTTACCAAGTTTGTGTTGTCGGATTAGCTTCAGTTCTCACCAATAATGCGCGCACTTACATGACGTTGCGCGCATTTGACCCGACCTGGACAACCAGGTCCAGGGGGGCGGGTTTCAATAAATCGTACCAGGTTACCGTGCAACCGTTGGCGCTTGGCTCAAAACTATAGTCGCCGCCAGGCGGCGTGTGTAGTTTTAGAGGTGACCGCTTACTGCAGCACAGAGCCCTATGTCCGTCACGACGAATCTTCTAACTGTGCAGCGGGGAAACGAGATGAACGGAGCATGAGGACGGTATACGAGGAAAGGACAGAGGTGGGGGCATTCTCAGGAGGAGCACGAGAAGGTCTTAGAGGTGGGGAGGAGGGGAGGAGGGGAAGGAAGGCGAGATCGGAGACATCTGAAAAGGATACATCGCAGGAGTGTGGGGGGGAGGGAGTGCTATTGATGATGATGATGATGATGATGATGATGATGATGATGACGATCATGACGATCATGACGATCATGATGATGATGATGATGCTGATGATGATGATGATGCTGGTGATGACGATGATGATGGTGATTATGATGATGATGATGATGATGATGATGATGATGATGATGATGATGATGATGATGATGATGATGACGATGACGATGACGATGACGATGACGATGATGGCGATTACGTTGACGAATATGATGATGATGGCGGTGGTGATGATGATGACGATGATGGTAATGCTGATGATGAGGGTGGGGGGTCGATGAGGATGAGTAGGGCTGTGTTTCTTTGTGGGCGGTTGAGAGCAAGGGGGGGAGGAGGAGGAGGAGGAGGAGGAGGAGGAGGAGGAGGGGGAGGAGGAGGAGGAGGAGGAGGAGGAGGAGGAGGACGAGCAGAGCAGGAGGAGTAGGAGGAGGAGCAGGACACTGGGATAGGCTGCGAGAGCAAGGCTGAGGAGGAGGTGGAGAGAACAGGGCATGAGCAGGGAAAGCCGGTGGAGCAGAAGGGGGGAACAGAAGGAAGGGGGGGAGAAGGGAAGGGACGAGGAGGGAGAGGAGGGGACGCGCCCACTGGTAGGGCTCCGGGCTGCACGCAGGTAGCCCCCCCTCCCAAGTTGGTCCTGGCAGGCCCAAATGATGCCCCCCCCCCCCCCCCCCCCCCCCCCCCCACCCCCCCCAACGAGTGTCCACGGCGGCGCACCTGGGGCGCTCCGCGCTCCAGGGCTCGGGTGTGAAGACCGCTCCTGAGGTCCTCCGACGCAGGGGCGACTCGGAGGGTGGGGGGTCCTCCTCCTCTCTCCTCCTCCTCCTTCCTCCTCCTCTCGTCCTCCTCTCCTCCTCTTCGTCCTCCTTCTCCTCCTCTCCTCTTCCTCCTCTTCCTCCTCCTCCTCCTCTTTCTCCTTCTCCTCCTCCTCCCCCTCCCTCTTGCCCTCCCCCTCCCACTTTGAGACAGCCTCGAACAGTTTTGATGTGCTAAATACGGGGCCCCGGAGCTCAGGACCATTTTCTGGGGACCAGGCTTCCGCACCTGGATCGTTTCTGTTGACAGCCTCGGGGCCCGGCGAGGGCCCCGATGCGCCGAGTGCTACGAACAAGCTCCGTCTTGATTCTTCCAAGCCGATGGAGGTCTGGGGGTCCGGTTGCGGCCTGCCGGTCTGCTTGCAGCACACCCACACACACACGCATACACGCATACACACACACACCGCTTCCCGTCGAAGGCCTACAGGTTGACGCTAACACCAAGATCGGCGGTGTGCCTCCACTGAGGAATGATGATTTTCGATCCTGGCGATGGGGGTATTACTCAGGCTCATCGTCCCCCAGTGGAGGCGGCATGTTCGCTCATCCTCCAGGCTAAGGTCCAGCGCATGAGCTTGCCTGCCGCAGGTCGGCCCGTGTGGTGCTCCCGGACCGCCTGGCGACCTCTTGATTCGCATGGCGGCTGAGGCCGAGTCGGGTGAAGCTCTGTGGTCGCGCTCCCTCCTCCTCAAAACCAAAATCTTATTCGTTGTGTTCGTTTTCTTACTCGTTGTTTTGCCGATCGGCGCGGGCCCTCGCGCCCCATTCCCCACCCGCATGGAGTAGATTTTGGTTGTTGTTGGGAGCCTGTTCCAAGTAGGTGAAGTCTCCCCCATAGGACGCACGTCCTCAACAAGCCTCATTAAGCAGAGGTCCAGAGCCAGACCCCCCCCTCCCCCCCTCCTTGCGCTCAATGTCGAAACGCCGAATAAGAAAACGTTGACGGGGTACCCCCCTGTGTTGGTGCTGCTGCTTCTAGATCTCCGGGCCTCCACTCCCGTGCCGCTGCTGCCCCCCGTACACCCCGCGACCCCCGCGCCGAGCCGCCGCCCCCCTGCCGCGCCGCGTGGGCGCGCGGGCGCGCGGGCGCGCGGCGATGTCACTGCCCCTGACGTTCGCGCAGGCGGGCGGGAGAGTCTTATTATAGCAGGAGCTCGACCACAAGAAACCTTCCTCAAGAAACCCAACCCTGAGACCCCAGGGCGTCAATGGGTTTGGGTTTGGGAACGTCACGCTTTCCATGGGAAAACCACAGAAACCCTAGAAACCCAGGGCACCCTGGAGGCAAGAAAGGTGCTTCTTGGCATGGGTTTCAGCCGTAGGCCTCCCAGGTGGGGTCCGAGTGCGGTCGGTTCGCGCGGCGCTGGCGCGCTGGCGACGGCGGCGAAGGCGTTCCGGGTTGAGGTCTGCGCCCTGGCGCGCGCTTACGCTCGAGAGAACGGCGCGGCAGCCCTGAGGGGCACGGCAGTAGCGCCACGCGACCCGACGGGAATTCATCCTTGAACGAGTGATGCCGCGATCGGTGCCAGGTTGGACGATCGACGCGGTGTGAGAGACCTTTGCGCGCGCCGACGCCGCGCGAACCGACGGCCTCCCGGGTGGATTCCGAGCAGATTTGTAGCTGGCGGGGGGTTTTTGAGGTGGCCCGGCACTGGACTCGAGGAGTTGTTCTTGATGGGCTTGTTTTCCACCACCACCACCATAAGTAGGAGGAAGAGGAGGAGGAGGAGGAGGAGGAGGAGGAGGAGGACCCCGTCCCCCTCCAACTTATGGTGGTGGTGGTGGAAAACAAGCCCATCATGTTCTGCAGTTGTCTGCTTCCAAGGGGGCCGTTCTCGGGCCCCAGGACCGTCGGCAGCGGATCCGTGGTGAAACCACTCGTGCAACAGCTGCCGGGAAGGATCGAGGGACCAGTTTTGGGCGGATGTGGCTCCATCTCTTTTCCTGACCGATTCTCTGAAGTGCAGGTCTTCGGAGCCCCGAATCATCAGGGGTAACTCGGGTCAGGGATAACTCGGGGTTCTTTTTCCGGGAACCCAAACCCGAGTTACCCCGGACCCGAGTTACCCCGGATAACTCGGGCGCCCAGAGCCCCGAATCATCAGGGATAACTCGGGTCAGGGCTAACTCGGGTTCCTTTTTCGGGAATCCAAACCCGAGTTATCCCGGACCCGAGTTACCCCGGATATCTCGGGCGTCCAAGGTCTTCCAGACGGGTCGCCTCTGAAGTGCAGGCCTTCAGATGGGGTCGGAGTGGATAGGATCGGAGGGTCGCGCCGCATCGCCGATGCATCGTCGATGCGGTTCGATGTGGAGCCCGATGTTCCTCGCCTCGGCGTCGACGATGCACCGCCGCCATCGCCGGTGCATCGTCGGTGCATCGTCGATGCATGGTCGATGCGGCGCGATCATCCGACCCCATCTGCTCCAACCTCTGTGCGCGATCCTCCGACCACGTCTGCTCGGACCCCGTCTGGGAGGCCTCCAGTGGGGAAGCCCCCAGACGTGATGGGGAGCGAAACAGGGGGACTGGATCGAGGATCGAGGTTCGAGGGTTTTAACCTTCGGGACTCGTCCTCGTCGCCACGGCTAGACGCAGCTCAAAACACTAGTGCGTTTGGACCCCGACAGGGGTTTGTTCGGGTGCAATTCCTGGGAGGTGAATTTCTGACTTTGCCCTGGTCCGAAATCCAGCTTTATTCAGCTTAATCTCGTTAAATCCCGCTGAACACCGCTCAATTCCGTTTAGTCCCGCTCAATCCGCGGCTTCATTTGGCGCAGCAGCTCTCCAGTGGGGCTCGAGGCTCCCGAACCTCTCCGGCGATGACCTCCCAGGAGCTGCCTCCGAAGGTCTGGTGACCCATCCTGACCGGATGCTGGCCCCCCCCTCGCGCCGCTGTGCAACAGCGCACAGCGAATCGCGCGGTGTGCGCCGAGGTTCGGCCTCTGGAGGCCCCCGGCGCCGGGCCCCAGAGCCGTCGAGAAGCGGCCCGGGAGGAGCAGCGGATCCGAGGGAGCGGGTCTGGAGTTCCAGGGGGGGCCACGCCATGAGAAAGCCGTGTTGTCGAGGGGGGGGGGGGGGCGGACTCCCTGACCTTCCAGGAGGGCTACAGAAGTAGGGCCAGGACGTCGACGTCCTAGTTCCTGTCCAGGTTTGAGGCAGTCCAGATCGATCTCTAGGTCTAGAATGCGTTTTTATATTTCTATATATACATAATTTACATAATATACATAATATGCATAATATATATATATATATGTATATATATACATATATATACATATATATATATATATATATATGTGTGTATATATATATATATATATCAGCAACCTGGAAGGGCAGGGCTCGCTGGGGGGGGTGGGGGGGCATCGAGCTGGAGTCGCCGATCACTCGGCGAGGGGGGGGGCGCCCGATATGTGGCGAAGCCGCACGCTCCTGGGCGCGGCGGGGCCCAAGGCCCCCGTCGGTGAGCAGTGGACAATGGAGGGTCGGGGCCCTCCCTCCCCTCCCCCCCCTCCCCCCCTCCCTCCCTCCCTCCCAACACAACACTCCCCCCCTCCCCTCCCTCCCTCTCTCCCTCCCCCTCTCCTCCCTGACCTTCCAGAGTGCTAGAACATCACACTCCAGACCTAGAGATCGAGCTGGACTGCCTCAAGCCTCGACAGGAATTAGGACGTCGACGTCCTGGTGCTATTTTTTAGCCCTCCTAGAAGGTCAGGGACCCCTTCCCCCCTCCCTCACTCCCTCCCCCCCAACCCTCCCGACACAAGAGCGCTCGTCTGCCCGCGCTGAGCTGGGCGAAAGCGTCCGGTGCGGAAACGTCGCAACGCCCAGATCTCAGGGTCGATCCAGCCCCTAGAGGTCTTCGGGTCATGGCTCGTCTCTGGCGGCCGTTCGGGACGATCCCGGCACCCCTGGAACGCCCTCAGCGAGGCGCAGCTGCTGGAACGCATCCCGAGGCTCGACGACCACCGAGACCCAAAGAAAACGCCCGAAAGCCTCGAACCTCGAAGCATTCAAAAACAAAAAACACTCGTCTGCCCACCGCCCGGCGCCCCGCAAGGCGGAGGGCGCCTCCGCCGTCGGCGGCGAGGCCGGCGGCGGCGCCAGGGGCGTCGGGGCGCGGAGCGCGCGCTGCCAGGCGTGCCGGGCGGCTGTCCTGCCGCCGTGCTCTGGGGGGGGGGTGGCGCCGGCCAAGCACAGCGGCGGAGGGCGAGTTTCGGCGGATTCGTTCAAGAGTGACCTTTCGCCTGAGTGACCTTTGGGTGCGGGCCCAAGGGGGTCCCCCGATCGTCGAGCGCGAAGCGGTAGCAGCGGCTTGCGCGCCCCCGCGTCCCCCCGTTGAGCCCCGCGCACCACAGGTCACTCTTGCCTTGGGTCCCTCTTGCGTGTAGCCGAGAGTTTCGGCTGTGCGTGAGAGTTGCCCTTCGACGGAGTGACCTCTGGTGCGGGCTCCAAGGGGTCTCTCCCCGGCACCTGGCCTGTGCGCTTGGCTTTGACCCATCCGCGGCCCCCGAAAGCTGCGCACCGAAGGTCACTCTTGCCACTCTTGCGCGGAGACGACGGTGACGCACGTACCTATCATTGCATGATCAACTTTGTCTCGTATTGCGTCGTTCGTTGTGGAGGCGTGCTGGTGGGTCCAAGAAGAGCGGCAGGGGGCAAGGGGAAGAAGAAGGAGGGGGTGGAGGAGTTGGGGGGAGGATTGGGCGAGGGAGGCTTGAGAGAGGACGAGGGCAGGGGAGTAGAGGCAAGGGCAGTTGGCCTTCGGTGGAGCCCTCGTTCCGCCGCGACGGCCAGGCTCGGAGCCGGCTGGGTGTTTGAGGTGGCCCAGCATTGGTTCCAGTGGGCAGGCTCGAGGCGCTCTTTTGCCTCTGTCGGCCTCCGGGGGCCGTTTTCGGGCCCCAGGATTTTGTAAAACCACGCCAGCATGACCCCAGGAGGGGTCGGGGTACCGACTTTGGAGCGGATTTGCCTTCACTCCCCTCTCTTGGCCGCCATTTCATTCGCCCTGCTCTCATGATCCCCTGCAGGATCGAACTGGCTTGGAGCCGGTGGGGGGGCGGGGAGGGCCTGGTCAGGGCCGGCATGAGCGGGGAAGAGAGGGGGGGGGCCCGCGTCGCCACGGCTGGGCGCGGCTCGAGAGACTGGTCCGTTTCGACCCTGGGGGGGCTTCGGGGAGGGATCTTGAGGGGCCTGCCCAGCAGTGGCCGCTGTCGGTTTCGGACTACGCCTGCAGTTGGGCATCCTACGCTGTCCTCGCCAATCAGCAAGTTATCACACGTGGCAGACTAGGGTTTGTCGTCCCCCTTTGGGGCACAACTTCCTGTGGTGGCCTCCTGTCTGTCCTCTGGTCGTTTTTTTCTCGCCTCGGTCCAGCAGCTGCGCGTCGTCGAGAGCGTCCCCCAGAGGGGCCCAAATCGTCCCGAACTATCGCCAGATGCCGCGAGCTCTGGCCCGAAAGCTGAGCGGCCCTTCGCTGGAGTAACCAATTGTCGAGCACGGGGTAGCTCACAGAACTGGTGTACCCCAGACTTGGTTTTCCCATCGGATCCACGAGAACGACGCAGAATGTTCTGTAGTTCCACGGGGCATTCTGCACATGCTTCGGGGATGCGACGGGCGAACTTCTTCTGAGGTAGATCAAATATGCAGTCGATTCCCTCCTCGACTCTGTGCGCGGCAGCTCTCGGAGGGCCAGGTGGTGGAGGGCCCAGGCACAACACTCAGGCCGACGCAAGGGGGGGGGGTGTTTAGGGGAACGAACAATGGCATAAACATAACATCGGCCACGCGCAGAGGGGGGGGAGGGGGTGGAGGGAAGGCTTCTTAGAAGGAGGCTGCTTCTTAGAAGGCGAGGGTCTCGTCTACAGATGCAAGGCCCGCGCCCTCTAAGGAGCAGCCTCCTGCTGAGAAGAAGCCCTCCCCCCTCCCACTCACCCCCTGCGCGTGGTCCACAACAGCTCGAAGGTCCGCGCCGGCCTTCTCGGGCCGGCGCTGGGCCCCCCCCCCCTCCCTGGCGGCGCCGGAGGCGGCGCCGAGGCGCCACGGAAGCCGGGGTTTTCGAGAATGCGTCTTGTGGGGGAACGAACTCAGAGCCCCGAATCATCAGGGGTAACTCGCGTCAGGGATAACTCGGGTTCGTTTTTCGGGAATCCGAACCCGAGTTACCCCGGACCCGAGTTACCCCGGATAACTCGGGCGTCCAGAGCCCCGAATCATCAGGGGTAACTCGGGTCAGGGATAACTCGGGTTCCTTTTTCGGGAATCCAAACCCGAGATACCCCGGACCCGAGTTACCCCGGATAACTCGGGCGCCCAAAATGATACAAGCAGAACAACTCGGAGGTCCGCGCGGGTCTCTCGCATCCGCGCCGGACCCCCCTGGTGGCGCCTCCAGCGCCGATCAAAGGAATCCGCGCGGAGCGCGAAGAGTTGATGTTTATGGCGTCTAGTCTTCTTATACAGAAGGGCTCGGGGTTTTCGGGAAGGCTTCCGAGAAATCCGCGCGGACCTCAGAGTTTTTATGTTTATGTCATTCTTGGATCCCCTATCTTGGAGCGCGGGAGGGCTTCTGAGAGAGGCCATCTGCCCTCGCAGGACCCCGTTTTCCAAGCTCCTCAGAGGGCCTTCTCTCCCCATGTTGCTTGGCCTTGGAGGGACAGACAGAGCCTCAAGGGCGCTCCGCCGCTGTGGGCACGTCAGCCTGCTACCTTGTGGCGTTTCTGTCCGGAGACCTGGCAGGAGTGACGCGCCGATAGGTTTCCCAGGGCGGCGCGCCTCTGGCACCGTGTCTGCTCCCGCGCGAGGAGGGGTGGCGGGCACGAGCGAACCGCGAGTGTTCGGAAGCCGATCTCGGCTTCAGTCGGAGAGCTGCGCGTCGTAGATCCGTGCCCTTGTCGACGTGGCGGCGCTCCCGGCACGTGCGGTCAAGGTCGAAGGCCGCCACTGGCCCAGAATCAAACATTATGGAGCCATTTTGCGATCGAGACGTCGCCACTGCTCCACGCGGTGCAGAACCACGACGACGACGCAGTCGAACACGACGACGTCGACGACGACAAAATCAACGGCGATGAAATTGACTCAAACGGGGATGACGACGAAGTCGAACTCGAAACTGACGACGACGATGAAGTCGAACGCGACGATGACGACGATGCAGTCGACCACGACGACGACGCAGTCGAACACGCCGATGACGACGACGAGGTCGACGACGACGACGATGCCGTCGACGACGATAACGACGACGACGGGATCAGAAACCAACGCCAAGACACCACGAGGCTCTCCATGGAGGAGGAGGGATAAGGAGGAGGAGGAGGAGGAGGAGGAGGAAGGGGAGGAGGAGGAGGAGGAGGAGGAGGAGGGAGGAGGAGGAGGAGGAGGAGGAGGAGGAGGAGGAGGAGGAAGGGGAGCAGGAGGAGGAGGAGTAGGAGGATGAGGAAGAGGAGGAGGAAGGGGAGGAGGAGGAGGAGGAGGAGGAGGAGGAGGAGGAGGAGGAGAATTCGGGAGGATTCGGCTTCGACGCAGTCGAGTTTCGCCTGGGCGGGTGCCGCGTCGGGGACCCAGAAGCACTTGGGGCCCCTAGAGCGGCACGGGTCCCGTGGGCCCCTGATCAGGGCGGGCACGGGCTCTAGTGCGGGATATCCTTAATTCTTTGTGGGGGGCCGCAGGGGTCGAAAAGCCTTTTGGTACTTCCCCCGTCAGACGCTTTGGCGCGACGGCCACAGACTTTGCATTACCACATGGAGGCATGCTCGGCATACTCCATGGTGTGCGATGAGTGGACAGCTCTTAGGCCAATCTGGACAGAGTGCCTAGTCACCACATCCCCGCGGGCCTTTGGGTTCCCTGGGGGCTGGGGCTTGCAAATCCTAAGCCATCTTTTGATGGTGGTGAGTCCTGACTTGCTGCTGATTGCCTCGTTGCACGAACTACATTGCCATCTACTGCGGGAAGGGTGGAGGCGATGCGGAGTGGAGGAGAGGGCCTGGCTCAACTCACTAATCCTCCGAGCTCTGGTTCTTCTTGCTCCTGCAGCCTCCTGGACCTCCTGGGACGACGGATCTCGAGCGATAGCATCCAGGTGGGCGCGGAGGATACGTTTCCACACGAGCGAGGCCGTCGCTCGCGCCCATTCATGCAAGCGCATCTGTGCCGTTGGGATCGCGTGCATGGCCGCGCCCCGCTTTGCCAAGGCGTCAGCCGCGGCGTTGCCGAGCCAGGCCTGCTCGTCGAGGTGCAACGCGATCATCTCCTCGGCCTCCAGGTGGCTGGTGATGTGGCGCAGCTCGACCTGCTCGAATGGGTGCTCGTGCCCTGGGCTACGCTGCCGCAGGGCGCTCTCCATGGCGTCCCAAATGTCCCTGTTGCTTCTTGGTGCACTTGTCCTGACGTAGAGTGCCCTCTGTCATCCTCGGATCGCCACGTCTGAGTCGGTCCATATGAGCACTCTACCAGCGCCTGGACAATGGCCCACAACTCCGCTCGGTTGTTGGTCTGACGTCGTCCTGGCAGAGGTCCGTACTGAGCTCGCTGTATTCCCCATAATCCATTTCTTTTTGCCAATCTGGCCCATCCTCAACCGCATCGTCTGTATCGCGGGTCGCTGACATGCTCCCCGCCGCTTCCGTCCGTGCTGATGATTGTGATGTCACCTGCGACGAGTGTGCAGCCATCGTCGCCGAAGCTTATTGGTTGGTTGGCGGTCGTGCATTCAGGCGGCGTGGTCCACTCACGTGGTACCAGCCGTCTCGACCAGAAGCATGGCACGTGTTGGCTGCCCTCGATCGCTCGTTGCCGTAGCATGTTGGTATTCACGTAGTCTTCGTGGTCTTCGTCTCGTGCTGGGCAGCTGCCCCATACTCTGTGTAGGTCGTCGGATACCAATCCACATTCGCATGTGTTGTCCATGTTGTCGAAGGTTTGGTGCTTGCGCTCTGGCGTCCACATCGCCGCGCAAGCTATTGCTTGGAGCATTCCTGCGTCCTGCGTGGAGGAGGAAGAGGAGGAGGAGGAGGAGGAGGAGGAGGAGGAGGAGAGGACGGAGGGGGAGAGGACGGGGGAGGAGGAGGAGGAGGAGGAGGAGGAGGAGGAGGAGGAGGAGGAGGAGGAGGAGGAGGAGGAGGATGAGGAGAAGACGGGGGGGGGCGAGGGGAAGGAGGAGGACGCGGAGGAGGAAGAGGAAGAGGAGGGGAGGATGGTGAGGAGGAGGAAGAAAACGAGGAGGCGGGGGAAGAGGAGGAGTATGAGGAGGAGGAAGCAGAGGGGAGGGAGAATGGGAAAAGAGGAGGGAGGAGGAAAAGGAAGGGGAGGAGAAGAGGAGGGAAAAGGAGGAAGAGGAGGAGGAGGAGCATGGTGAGGAGGGAGGAGGAGGAGGAGGGGAGGAGGGGGAGGAGGGGGGGGGGAGGGGGAGGAAGAGGAGGATTAAGAAGAGGAGGAGGATGAGGAGGAGGAGGAGAAGGAGGAGGAGAGTCCCCCCCCCTCGCCGAGCAGAGGCGGGGCCCGGTCGCCCGCCGCCCCGGGGCGGCTCCTCCCTGCTGCGGCGGTGCGCCGCGGCGGCGCTGCTGGTCTCGCAGGTCTTTGTCGTCGTCGGCGTCGGCGTCGGCGTCGGCGTCGGCGTCGTCGTCGTCGTCGTCGTGTTCGTCTTCATCGTCGTCGTCATCGTCGTCGACGTCGTCGTCGACTTCAGCGTCGTCGTCGTCGTCGTCGTCGTCGTCGTCGTATTCAGCGTCGTCGCTAGGAGGGTCCACGATGGGGCCCCGAGGGACGTGGCCCCGAGGGCGGCGGGCGCCGGAAACTTCAGGTCAACCAGGGACCCTTGCCTGTTCTTCGGTCTTCAGGCCTCAGACCCCATCTCCAAGCCGCCCGGGTCGTGGTGTCGGAATTCGTCGTCGATGACTGCATCGTCGTCGTCGTCGCCGGCTTCATCTTCGTCGTGGTTGCCTTCGTCGTCGTCGTCGTCATCGTCGGCGTCGTCGTCGTCGTCGTCGACGTCGCCGCGGCCGCCCCCGTTGGCGCCCGTCTTGATCGCTGTTGCCTCCTCCCCTGCTTCTCTCGCCGCCCTTGGCTGGCGGACGGGCGGTGGTCGGTCGCCGTCGTGGCCGTGGTCGCTCATCTCCAGTCCCACTGGGAAAGGCTTGGCATTCAGGGGGCGACGCATCGACCCCCAATCAGCAGCTATGGATTGCCCATGGACCCCCGACAGCGAAGGCGATGCATCTCCGACTCCAGGTCGATGCTTCCCCCCCTTTGCCAGTCCCCCCCCCCAATCGTGAACCCTGAGGCAGCGATGTCCTGCCTCCCCCTGGTCGAACAAGATACAACGGCGCAAACGTGTTTTTTTTTTTTTTTTGCTTTTTGCGCCGAGCGACCCCCAGCCGAGCAAACTCGCGGCGGGGTGCCCCGGGGAGCACCGGCACGTTGTGGGCGTCTGACGGCCGCAGCATGCCGTCGTCACCCGTCGAAGGCCTAGGGCGGGATGCGGAGCACGGGTAGGCTGTGGGCCCGGCGGCCGCGGTCTGCACGGTGTGCGGCGCCGAGCGAGGGGGGGAGATGAGACGGAGAGATTGCCTCCTCCTCCTCCTCCTCCTCCTCCTCCGCCGCCTCCTCCCCCCCACCTCTCCTCCTCCTCCTCCTCCTCAGAAGGCGGCGGGACTGCTCAGAAGCCTCTCGCGGCTTCTGAGAGGTCTTCCATGTCGCCGTGGAAAGGCTTAGAAAACTTGTCAGAAGGCATGGGGACTTTCGAGCCTTCTGAGAAGTCCCCTTCTCACTTCCCCTTCGGGCTCGCCGCCGGGGTAGGGGAGGCTGGGCGGGAGGTCTGATCTGTTCTTCGGATCTCACGGATCCAACCTGTCGGGTTCGGCATCGAGTGTCGAGGTCTGCGCGGATTTCTCGGTTCGGCGTTGGAGTTCCCCAGGCGGCGCCGCCAGCGCCGCCCTTGGCGGGCTCCGCGCGCCAGGAAGGTGCCCCAGCGCCGATTTATGAAATCTGTGCGGACCTCGGAGCTGATATTTCAATGTTGCGTCGTATGTTTCTACGCCTATCCCCCGCTGTACTGGCCAAGCCTTGGCCCCGCTGTCGTACCAAAATGTCCCCCTGGGTGGTGATAGATGCCCTCTCGGTCGGGCATCGCGGCATTCATCCCCCACTACCAGGGGTAGGCTTGTGGCGCCAAGTAAGCCTGGCACATTGGGCATGGGGATCGGTTTGACGATGCTGCGTCGCCGTCGTTGCAGTCGTCGTCTTCGTCGTCGTCGTCGTTGCCGCTCCCGTCTCAGTCGTTGTCGAGGGTCAAAGCAGTTGGCCCCTCGGCGTCGTCGCTTTCGAGGCGTATTCTGCCCCTTGAACGGCTCCAGAGGCCTTACGACGTCAGTCGTTGTCGTCGTCGTGGTAGTGGTGTTAAGAGCCGACTTCGTTGTCGTCGGCGTCGGCGTCGCCGTCGTCCCTCCTCTTCTTCCTCCCACCTTCGTCCTACTCCCCGCTCCCCTCTCTGCCTTCCTCCTGTTCTCCTCACTCTCCCCATCCGCCCGACCTCCGAGGAGGAGCGGGAGGGGGGAGGCGAAAGGGTGCAGCACACAGGAAGGGAAGGTCAGGGAAGCGAGGGTGCACATGGAGGAGAGGGGAGGGAGGACGAGGAGCGAAAAGAGGGCGTGCAGGAGGACGACGGGGGGGGGAGGGGGGCCACCTGTGACCCCCGGGGGTGGGGCCACCGAGAGGCCGGGGTGCCCTCGTGCGAGGAGCGTGTGACACGTCGGATACCTTGGGCCGTCAGGCCACCACTGCATGGGGCGCCGCGCCGTTGGCTCCGACGCGCGGCCCGCCGTCTCCTGAGAGGGCGCCGCGGGCCCCGCGCAGCCTCCTCTCCTCCCCCTCCTCCTCCTCCTCCTCCTCCCCTCCTCCTCCTCCTCCTCCTCCTCTCTCCTCCTCCTCCTCCTCCTCCTCCTCCTCCTCCTCCTCCTCCTCCTCCTCCTCCTCCTCCTCCTCCTCCTTCCCCTCTCCTCCTTTGCCGCGTGGCCGGCCTCCTCCGCCGGGGCGCGGGGCGCAGGGCTCGCCGTGGGTTTGCCGTGGCGTCGGCGTCGGTCACCGCGGGCGAGTCGAGGACAAATGGCGCGGCGACGGGTTGACTTGTTCGGGGCACGAGCCCAGGAGTTCTTGACTGTTTTCCAGTGGCTGTCTCTCCGTCCCTGATCGCCGTTTGATTTTCCCTGGGACCGACAGTTGCCCTCAGGGGCCTGGCATGGCGAACAGCCTCCGGCTTTCCTGGTGCAGACCCTGTAGGTCTTGGCAGTCGGTGCCCGACCCAGACCCCCGACGTCGTGCTTTTTTGAGAACGTGAACTCCCACAGGTCTAGACCAGTGACCATATCCCTGCGTGACCTGCTTTTCATCCCGAGTCGTTTTGTTCGTTGGGCCCGCGGGCTCGGCAAGGGCCCCCGGGAGCCGCAGAAAATATGGAAACAGGTCCGTCGCAGCTGTGTCACGACGCCAGGGGTTGGGGGTCCGCGCTGCCGCTGGCAGCCGCCGTCCGCATCCTGTGGCGCCGGCGGCCACCAAGGCCCAACAGGGCCAAGGGGCGCCCTCGAGGGCGCGAAGTTTTTCGCGCTGTGCGGCTCGGATCCGATTCTTCCTCGTGCCCCTTTTCTCCCCGTGGGGGGCGGCGCGAGAGCGCGAAGTTCCTCGCGCGTCGCGCAGCGCGAAGCGCGGAGTTCGGCGCCCTTGCAAAGCCCAAAGTCTCCGCCAGCAGACGGCGCGCTTCGCCTGGCCCCAGAGGCGCTGCCGGCGGGCGCGAAGCCGCGGGAGAAGTTGCCGCAGGCGTCCTCTCCTCTGCGCCCTCCTCTGCGCCCTTCGTGGGCGAAGGACATCTCCGCATCCGCGGCCTTGCGGGCTGGGCCCCCGTTCTGCGGCCCCGCGGATGCGGGGCGTGTTTTCACGGATGCCCCGCACGGAACGCATCCGTGCGACCGCGTATCCGCGGGATCGCGCCCCGGAATCCAGACCGCGAGGGCGTAGATTCGGATATGTTTGCCGCTCCTGAGCCTTCCTCTGCCTGCTCGTTTCGAGGTTCGAGCGTTCGATCGCAGGCGACTTTTCTCCCTCCGTCCCCGGGTTCCGCCCAGAAACCTTGGGATACGGGTTGTTCGGACGCGCCTGCAATTACCGAGGATGGACGCCCCCCATCGTATATCCTCAAATTGATGGTCCATCTGACACGCCCACGAAGCCTTGGATAGCGGTCGACATATCCCCTGTTATCCTCTGCCTTTTCGTTTCGAGGCTCGAGCCTTCGAGGTGTTCGGACGTTTTCGGTGGGTCTCGGTGGTCTTCGAGCCTCGGGGTGCTTTCCAGCGGTTGCGACTCGCCGAGCGCTTTGCAGGGGTGCCCAGATCGTCCCGAACGTCCGCCGGAGAGTTGAGTAATGACCCAGAAGCTTCAGGGCGTTGGGCCGACCTTGCGATCCAGGCGTGACATTGCTGTCTGAAGTCGAGCATGTCCGTCTAGAGGAGGAAAATTCAAGTATGGAAAAAAATATTTTGGGACGATTGTTCGAGTTGTTTGATCATGTTTGAATATGTTGCTGACCATGTTTTATTGTTCTTCCAACATCTGCCTGTAAGAGGACATGCCCGACCGAAGTATTGTCACACCAGGCGTTTTCGCCCCGCTTCGGGCCCTGGGACCCTCCCCGATCCATCATCGGCTCGAACAAAAACGCAGTAGAAAAATTAGGTCCAGGGCTCCGCTGTCGTGATTTCTTATGCGATGTCGCATACCTTTGGGACGTGTTGAAACGTCGGATCCCAGAGGGTGGCGAGGATGACGATGACGATGACGATGACGATTGCAGTGATGTGTGGGGCTGATGGTGATGCTGGTGGTGATGATGGTGGCGACGACGCGTTCTGACAGCACACACGGAGGAGGCCAGGGTGAGGAGGCGGGACCAGGACGCTTTTGTTGTGCCCGATGCTCCAGCTGTTGCCGCGAGGTCGGATCGAAGGGTCGGCGCGCGTGCGTCGCGCGGCCAGGGCTCGTTTCGATTCCTCCGATCCGATTCAATTCGACTCCGGTGGCTTCCGATTCTGATTCGATTCGACTTCGGATTCCGATGTTGGTTTCTGATTCCTCGCTGGAGGCTGACTAAACTGCCGATTTCCGCCGCCTCTACTGTTCCTGATTCGGCTGCCGATGTTCGCCGATCCGACTCATTTCGATCGCCGATCCGACGTATCCATTCGATTCTGGGCTCTCCTGCGCGCCCGCTTCCTTCCGAGTCTTCTGCGCAGCTGCCCTGGGGCCGCCGCCGCTGCTGCCGCGCCCGGGTCGCCGCTGTCCGCCGTGGCAGGTCACCGTCGTCGCCGCCGCCGCCGTCCGCCGTGGCCGTCGGGGCCAGGGTCAGGTCGGGCATGTCCCCCTACAGGTCAAACATAAAAAAAGGAATCGTCGGGGGACGATGTTCTGACTATGTTTGATCAGGTTTGGTGCATTGCCATTTCCAAATCCGTGCACAGTCCGCCTGTAGGAGGACATGCCCGACCTAAGGCCAGGGGGACTGGGATCCGGGCTGTGAGGAAGAGGAGGGGGAGGATCCTGAGATTCTGGCCTCGCAGTCTTTCAGAGCCGAGCGTTTCTCGAGACTTCGGGCTCGGGACCTTCACATATCGACCCAGCTTGAACACTGCAGGAGAAATATGGGGCCCCGGGCTCTGGTTATAGTTGTCCATGATTTTTCATTGTTGTTCGCGTCGTCGGATCACAGTGAAAGTTGAGGGGGGGGAAGGCGAGGAGCAGGGGGAGGAGGGGGTTGAGAGGGGAGGAGGGGGGAATGAGGGATTCTAGGGGATGGTACAGGAGGGGAGAGAAGGAAACGCACAAGGACGACGACGAGCATGCTGGGAAGAAGAACCGCATGAGGGAGGTGAGAGGAGGTTCGCGGAAGTCGAGGGCAGGAGGGGGAGGAAGAACAGGAGGAGTAGGAGGAGGAGGGGGAGGAGGAGGAGGAGGAGGAGGAGGAGGAGGAGGAGTGATCAGGGAGGAGGGAGATGGAGATGGCTCAGAAGTAGGAGGAGTCCTCTGAGAGCAGGCCTGGACGCAGGGGGGAGGAGGATCGGATGGAGGACGAGGGTGTAAAGGAGCAGGATGAGTGAGCAGGAGCAACAGGAAGATGAGGCGGCCTCGAGGGAACGTGAGGACGAGGAGGGTCGAGGAAGGGCATGGAACAGGATGACAAGCATGACGAGCAGGAGGAGGCGGGATGATTCTAGAGGAAAGGACGGACGGAGAGATTGGGACGGGGAGCGACAGAGGGGCAGGGGAGAGGGACAGCGGAAAAGGGGGGCATGACCGAGGGGCAGGGGGAGGACAGATGGGCCACGAGGAGCGACGGAGGTGCAGGAGGAGGACCGCGGGACAGAGGAAATGGGCACGACAACAGGGAACGATCCGCCTCCTCCTCCTCCTCCTGATCCCTCCTCCTCCTCCTGATCCCTCCTCCTCCTCCTTATCCCTCCTCCTCCTCCCCTCCGGAAGTGGGATGGGGGGAAGGGGGGGAGGAGGGCGGACATAGGGCGAGCGGACGAGGGGGAAGTGGATAGGGGGAGTAGGGTGAGGAGACGGGCAGCAGGAGGAGAACGTGGGAGGAGAAGGAGGACGGTTTAAGAGGACGGGGAGACGGGAAAGGAAGGGGAGCAGCAGCAAGGAGGAGGACGAGGGAGATGGAAGAGGGGTCGGATTCTGTGATTGCGCAATCGGGGGTGTGAGCAGCAGCAACAGCAGCAGCAAGACTATGGTCTTCGCGGGGTATACCCGTTGCGCCGCCAGCGCGTGAGGAGGTTAAGCCGGTGGGATGAGTGATGATGCTCACTTGAGAAAAGTACGAGGATGTTTTGAGTGAATGCGTTCTTGGGGATAGGAAGATAGGGTAGGAACATTGAGATGACCACTAGTCATGTGGGATGTGGGAGAACCTTGGACTTATATATGTTTTAAGCATTCCGTGCCCATGGATTGTTCCCGGGTCTTGCACGGCGTCTCATTGTTTCATGCCCGCGCCACATTTTGTCTCACCGCTCTGCCAATGAACCTTGCACGTCTCCCTCTGCCTCTCTTGCGTTATAAGGTATTGAGGCAGGTGCACGACGACGCTGACGCTCTGGAGCCCTTCTTTGGGTCCTCTTGGTCTTGGAAGCCTCTTGTGCTCTGTTGTGGGGCCTCTAGGTGGACTTATTGGGAAGCTCCGTGGTTAGTTGGAGTCGTCCCGGAGCGGATCCGAGGCCTTGTGGAGACATGTGAGGAAATACGCAGATTTCCGCATCAGCACATAAGAATGAGCAGGGTGCCTCCAGGGGGAGGGATTCGGGAGGAAAGCGGGGTGATGGCGGTCCCCTTCTCCACAGGAGCGAGGCGGGGATAGGCGTCTTGAGCTCCCCCCTCCCACAGGGAGACCACCCTCTTGTCCCCTTTCTCCACAGGGGTGCCCCCCCCGGGGGGGGGGGAGGGGCCCTGGACCCATGCTCGTACCCCGCCCGAGGACGCCACCTCAGAACCCTTTCCCAGGACCCCCCTCCGCTACCATCCCTCCCCAGCAGGGAAAAGATCAAAGGGAGGAGGTTTCCCTTCGAATGAACTACGACGTTGTTTCATGTCCGTTTGGCTGGATCGCCTGATGAGGAGGACCCGGGGAACATATAAAGGGGGTAGCGTAGGCGGCGGCGACGATGACGACGACGGCGACGATGATGACGACGACGATGAGGACGACGACGACGACGACGACGATGACGACGACGACGACGACGACGACGAGGACGACTACGAGGACGAGGACGGCGACGACGACTGGGATGACGTCGACGACGACGACAACCACGACAACGACGACGACCCAATCGGAAACTCGCCTCACACACGCTGACAGTGTCGGCGGATTTGAGCAGTTTTCCTTGTCGCCCAGCTGAACTAAGTCTCGGGGAGCGAGAGCGATAGATGGGCCAGTCATGCGCACGGGCTAGCATCAGGTTGCTAGTTTGTTGATTGGAGATGTTGGGAGAATGCGAGCTCTGCAGCGCAGGTTGATGATCCTCGGGCAAGCCGCACGCATCGTACCACGCGGCAGCACACGGTGACCCAATGTGAAAGTGTATACCGAGGATTTGTTCTGATAAAGGTCCAGGCCCAAAATGCTGTGCGGCAGCAATTGTCACCACCAAGAATCGCACGGTAGCATGAGGAACGATTGACATGTCTGTTGCATTGGATTGCCAGCACAATTCCATGTTTACATGCCGATTTTCCCATCATTGCAGGAAGGTCGGGTGATTCATTTGCTTCTGGACAGCGCCGATCGACACTCGATCCGCACCTCGCTGCTGCCAGTGGCACGCGGCCGCCTGCTAGGTGCCTCGTACCGAGCTCAACCACTCCTGCTCGAGGACCGTGTCACGCGTCGTGCGCAAGCAGCTGGAGTCAGAGGTGCTGAAGCCAGCGATGAAAGCAGGCGCCGACGGGGCAGGGCGCGGCCGACCTGCACACACCGAGGATGTATCCAGATCCACGGATTGGGAGACGTACCTGGTAGGGCTTCGGGTTGCGCGCATGCAGGTTACCTCAACAAGCCCCCCTAGAAGTCCCAGCTGGCCTCAGCAGGCCTTGCGAAGTGCACCCGTGCATTTTTTCCCGCAGCAGATCGCCGATGGCCGAGAAGGGGTCGGCCATCGGCGGCAGGGCAAGCAGGCCTTGGAGTAGTCTGGGGCGGTCCCGACACCCCGGCGCCGCCTCCGGCGGCGCCTTTGCAGGGCTGGGATGTTGAGACCGTCTTGGGGTACTCGGGGGGCCTGTTGAGACCAGCTTTAAGTCGAGCGTGTCCCTCTACAGGAGACCAGCTTTAAGTCGAGCGTGTCCCTCTACAGGGGTGTGAGCATCAGTATCGTTCAGCCGACCCCCATCCCCATCCCCAACCCCAATCCCCTTCGAGACCCCCACCAAATTACCACCCACGTTTGGGATACAACCCGAAGGGGACGGCCTATATTCCCATCCTGGGGGGGTAAATCGGCCAGTGGGGCCCAGGCCACGCCGCTGGGGATGGGGGTCGGATAAACGCCGCTCAAAGCCGGACATCGGGCTTGCCGACGTTTTTTGACGAGCGCGTCCTGGATTTTACGGTCCAGCTTCTTTCGTAGGATGCTTGCAGCCTGGGCTCGCGTCAGATTTCAGACGGGGTCTCGTCATTTGCATGATGGCCTCGTCAGGCCAACCCGAGTCTCCCGAACCCGAGTCTTTCGTCTCCCCGTTCCTTGCTCCACCACCCGAGTTTCGGGAGTGCGTGCCGGGTCTTGCCGTTCATCTTCGCATTCTGGGCTCAAGGGACTGGGGTCAACGCCAATGGGGTTTCAGTCAGAGCGCTGGATCGTGTAGGATCCTGCACTTGGCATCGCTCGGACGTGGATTTTTATCTTGGCGAGGACCTTCGAGGAGCATCTCTGACCATCTGGCAAGAAAGGCACGCGCGAAACCGAAACATGCACGGGGCACGAACGTCCGAACGATGGCGAGTGCGGGGCCAGGGGCGGTCCTACACGGGTCTGGGTGCAGGATCCTGTAGGATTTTGCAGGATCTTGCACGGCATGACAGGTCCCGGTTTTGAATTGAACCCAGGTCAAAAGAGCCCTGACGAATCCTCGAGCTTTCCCAGGGGGTGGGTCATGCTCGGCTCGGAACCTCAGCGCCCGCATCCGTGAGCTGATGGCGGCGTAGTGCAGAGGAGTCAGAGATACCGATACCGTACCCTTGCCTCGTTTTCCCCTTTCAGGGCCTCCTGGAGGCTGGCTCTCGTTGCCACCGTTGGATTCGCCTCGAGATTCTGGTCAGAGCGCACCCCACCAGAGGTCCAGGGAGTAGCGGTATCGGTGCCTGTTGGTTTCCCCAGCAGTGGGTGGGCCTCCCCTCATGCTGGCCCACCCAGCGTTCGGGACGGGAGGACCACGTTCATGGCTTCCTCGTTGCACTTGTCTCGCCCACTGCGTGTCCTGGAATCTCCTCCGAGTCTATCGAGCGCAGCTGGCTTTCTGCAACGCACCGCACTGTGTTCTTTATGCTCACTTCAACAAGGCCAGACACTTACTCGAACTCTCTCTGCGGAGGGACCCTGTCCCATCGTAATGCAGAGAAACAAGTTGCCATTCGCCCACCTTGTTGGCCATACTTCGTCATCGTTCTGGGTGCGCCAAGTTGGCGGAGATTCGTTTCATGTACAGTGCTCACATGGGCGGCCCGGCCCTGACGACGCCAACAGTTTCCAAGAAGACCCCGATCTGCATCCAAGAGATTGACGGAAGCGGTGGCAAAGGCGACAGCAACAGCGTCGGGAGGCGGAAGTGGAGAGAAGAGGCCGTTGGGTGAACAGTGTGCAGACAACCCGCGTAGTAAGGATGGGCGACTTTCCCAAGGATGCCCTTGCATCCTCGCCTTTTCGGCCCATCCTTAGCTCTTTCGCTGGCCAGGCTCGCTCGAACAACGTTAACATGGCCCTCCAAGGCCTTTGCATCCCTACCGCGTATCCTCATGATACGGGCCGACTGTGCCTGAGGTCTGGAGACGGCGGCGGCCGCGGCGGCGGCGACGGGGGACAGCGGTGGCGGCTCGGCGGAGGGGCCAGTTGGGTTGGACCCTCCTCGTCGGCACGGCTTGGCCCGCCTTGAGGAACACGTCGGAACGGACCCGGGGAGGTGGATCGTTTTCTGATTTGGGCGCCGCGTAATAGGGGGGTCATAAATGGGGGGGTGGCGAGGGTGGTTCGAAAAGGTACGCAAACGGTACCTAAACGAGCCCCTTGGTGCTCTGGAGTGGCCCGAAAGGGACACGAAAGGGGACCGCTTCTGACCCCCCCCGTTTATCACCCCCCCCCATTAAGTCCCGACTGATGCACTGTGTTGCCGATCGGCGCGGGCCCTCGCCCCCCCCCACCCACCGCCCCCACGGAGTGGATCGTCGCCGTGCTTGGCGCCTGCCTCGAGCTAGGCGGGGCAACGCCAGATGGGACGCAGACAGTGGCGTGGAAAACAATGCCACGAGGGACAAAGAACACACACAGAGACACTTAGTCGTCGATCCCCAGGAAAATATGGGAAAATATGCGAAGTGGGGGGGAAGACAAAAACCCAGAAAGTATAGGAAAATATGGGGACTCCTGTTATTTGTGTTTTTTTTTTTTTTTTTGTGTGTGTGTGTGTGTGTGTGTGTCAGGGCCCCTTCACAAAGGTCCTGAGCCAGCCCCCCACCTCCCCCCCCGCTCAATGTCGAAACACCAACACAAGAAACCGTTCACGAGGCGTCTGGGGACAGGTTCCGGGCGGATTTTTGGGCCAGGCGGGAGGCCCGCCGGTGCCGCAAGCACAGACGGCCCGTGTTCTGTTGTGCCTGTGCGGTGCCGGAGGCCCCGTCCCCAGGGGCCAGCCTCCGCCCCAGACCCATTTCGGATGGCTCCTCCTCCTCCTCCTCCTCCTGCTCCTCCTCCTCCCTCCTCCTCCTCCTCCTCCTCCTCCTCCTCCTCCTCCCTCCTCCCTCCTCCCTCCTCCCTCCTTCGCCTCCTCCTCCTCCTCCTCCTCCTCCTCCTCCTCATCCTCCTCCTCCCTCCCCCGGGGGCTGTGAAAACGGGCCCCGGATGCCAGAGTCGAGGACTCCCGAGTGGGGTCTGGGCCGCTTGGGTCTCAGGATCGCGACGCATCGCTGATGCATCGGCGATGCGATGCGATGTGAAGCCCGATGCTCCCCACGCCGGCAGCCCCCATGCATCGGCGGTGCTGTGCGATCCTCCGCCCCCGCATCTCTCAGCGAGCGAAGAACGTACGAAACGAACTTTCCCGCCGTTGGGGACGCCTACGTGGCACAGTAGAGGTATAAACTTTGCAGTCTCGGGGGTTGCAAGGTGCCCCTGGCCCAAGGTAACCCCCAGCTTTCCGCTCCATTTTTGGGACCCCCTGGGGGCCCCCTGGGCCTTGTGAGGGGTGCGCTGGAGGCCTCGGGGGCCTTCCCGGAAATCCTGGGGGGCACCTTGGGCCAGGAGCACTTCCTAGCAGCACCCGGGAATCTCCTCGGGCCCGATGTTGGCGAGGCCTCCAGAGGCCGCGCTCGTCCGGGGGCTCTATAGGGGGCGCGAGCTGCCCTGCCGAGGGACAGCGGCAGCAGCGGCGACGGCGATCTGGCCCTCCGCCGAGAGGGACGGCCGCAGCCCGGCAGCGGTGGGTGTTTCTGGAGCCCCCGAGAGCTGGCGGAAGCGGGGCGCCGGAGGCTCCGGAGGGCAGCAGTCAGGCAGCGGGAGCCGGGCCAGCAGCCACCACCCACCAAGCCACCCCAACCCTCAGTGGGCCCCGGGAGAGGCAGGGCCGTTTTCTCGCCGTTCTCGAAGAGGTGTCTCTCGAAAGCGGAGACAGGAAACAAAAACAACGGCCACTGGAAACGGCAGAAAACCGTTCCAGGATTGGAGCCAGAGCTGGAAGCGGGAGCAAGAAGTGGCGACGGAGGCGGCAACGGAAGCGGCAAAACGGAACCGGCAGAAAAACGGCAAAAACGGAACCGATGCAGAAATTGTTTCGTCGTTTCCAGGGCCCCATGAGCCCCAACCCAACCCGAAGGCCCCAATTTGCTTTCCATTTCTAGCGTGGGGAAGTGGCACCGGAGAACACGTAAAAAGACACGTGAGGATCCCGAGCTCCCCCCAGCCCGAAGTTTGGGCCTTCGGGTTGGGTTGGGGTGGTCGGGTAGGTAGTCAGGCTTGGGAGGGCAGCAGCCAGGCAGCGGGATTCGGGCCAGCAGCAGGAGGCGGAGCGCGAGCAACGGGGCGCGGGGCCTCTCGCCCCGGCGACGGGCGTAGGCAGCTCGCGCGAGGAAGGTGCCCGCGCAGGCGACCCGCGGCAGCCATCGCGTGAGGTCGCTGTGCCGTGTCGCGTGACGCGTCAGTCTCGTTGCTTTTCCTCGCTCGTGTGCCCCTCCTGCTAGCGTTTGGGTTCGGGCATGGTGTGCACGTGTGCCGCTTGGTCCGGATAGCGCGATCGGGACACCCCTCCCGAGTGGCAGCGACATGATTGTTGTGCTGAGGGCGTGTTGGTTCGTTGAAAAGAAGTCCACTGGGAAGAGTTTCTTTTACCCCTCTGAGCCATGACGCGCGTTCTGCCCCCCCCGTCCCCCTCGCCCTCTCCCCCCCCAGAACTTGCAGAAGCTCCCCCCCCCTTCCCCCCCCTGTGGCGCCCCCCGGCAGTGCGTCCGGCAACGCAGCCCGTGGTGCCGGACTCGCACGGCGGGGGGGGGGCGTCACGTTATGATGCCCCCCCCTCCCCGCCACCCCCCACGCCTGTTATCGCCGCTCCCTTGTGTATGTGGCGTCTTAGTTCGGTGAGGGACGAATCAACTGTGAAGTCGGGCCGGCCCTCTACAGGGGAAATTCAAACATAGTCAAACAATTGTCAGGGGACGGTTTTATTGAGTATTTCCGTTGCGTCTTTGGCATATGTTTGAATATGTTTCATTTTCTTCCAGAATCCCATTCATTGTCGTCCAATATCCCCCAAACTTCCCCTACATGTTCGTCCGAAGTAGGCGGACATGCCCGACCTAAATCAGCTGCCT